GACTACAGGCGCCCGCCACCTCGCCAGGCTAGTTTTTTGTATTTTTTTAAGTAGAGACGGGGTTTCACCGTGTTAACGAGGATGGTCTTGATCTCCTGACCTCGTGATCTGCCCGTCTCGGCCTCCCAAAGTGCTGGGATTACAGGCTTGAGCCACCGCGCCCGGCCCGTAAAGTATTTTTAAATTAAGGTATGTACACTGTTTTCTTAGATAAAACCTGCCAAAACTCACATAAGAAATAGACAATCTAAACAAGCCTGTTTCTATTAAATAAATTGAATCAATAATTAACAACCTTTCAAAACAGAAATCACTGGGCCCAGATGGGTTCACTGGGGAATTCTACCAAACATTTAAGGAAGAAATTACACCAATTCTCTGCAATCTCTTCCAGAAGACAGAAGCAATCTCTTTGTAACTTATATAAGCTCAGCATTACCCTAAATGAGACAAAGACATTACAAAAAAGAAGACAAAGCTGGGCCTAGTGGTATGTGCCTGTGATCACAGCTACTTGGGAGGCTGAGGCAGGAGGATGGCTTCAGCCCAGGACTTCAAGGCCAGCCTGGGCAACATCTCGGAAAAAAAGAATGAGGTCGGGCACAGTGGCTCACACCTGTAATTCCAGCACTTTGGAAGGCCAAGATGGGTAGAGTTCAAGACCACCTGGCCAACACGGGGAAATCCTGTCTCTACTAAAAATACAACAATTAGCTGGGCATGGTGGCAGGCGTCTGTAATCCCAGCCACTTGGAAAGCTGAAGCAGGAGAATCGTTTGAACCTGGGAGGTGGAGGTTGCAGTGAGCTGAGATCACACCACTGCACTTCAGCCTGGGTGACAAAGCAAAAAATAAAATAAAATAATTAAAAAATAAAGAAAGCTAAAGACCAATACTCTCATGAACATAAATGCAAAATCCTCTAAAAAATATTAGCAAAGCAAATTCAATAATGTATAAAAAGAATTATACACTATGGCCAAGTGGGATTTGTCCCAGGTATGCAAGGCTAGTTCAATATAAGAAAATCAATTAACGTAATACATTACATCAATAGGCTAAAAAAGAAAAATCACATGATCATATAAATAGACGCAAAAAAGCATCTGACAAAATCTATACCCATTCATGATTAAAAAGCCTCAGCACACTAGGAATAAAGGGCAACTTCCTCAACTTGATAATATCTACAAAAAACAGTTAACATCTTACTTATTGATGAAAAGCTTGAAGCTTTCCTGCTAAGATTAAGAACAAAGCAAGATTACACAATAAAACAAGAAAAGGAGATAATAGGTATAGAGACCGGGGAAGGAAAAAAATAAAATTGTTTGCAGATCACATGACTGTCTATGTAGAAGATCTAAAACTTGGAACTAATTAGTGATTATTGCAAGGTTCCAAGATACAAAGTTAATATACATAAGCCAGTAGTTTGCATATATACCAGCAATGTGAAATCCAAAACATATTGCCATTTACATTAGCAACCCCACAATGAACTACTTAGATACAAATCCAACAAAATATGTACAAGATCTAAATA